AGAGCCCCTCGTGTCCGCTCTTCCCTGCCCCCAACCCCTGACCCTTCTATGAAGGTCCCACACCTGCCTGCTGCCTCCAGTCTACAGACTAGCCTTGTGACAGCTGGGAGAACAGGGCTTGGCTTGACAGTGGAGGTAGAGAGAGGAGACCCTTAGGTACAGGAAACGGGGTGGTGCAGTGTGAGTTCAGTTAACAGCAAAGCCACTGTATTCATTTGCTTGGGCTGTACCCAAGCTAAGTACCACAGACTGAGTGGCTTAAACAACAGAAACCTATTACAATTCTAGAGGCTAGAAGTCTGAGATCAAGGTGTCTGCAGGGTTCTTCTGAGTCCTCTCTCCTTGGCCTGTAGACGGTTGTCTTCTCCCTGTCTTCACATGGTCTTTCTTCTGTCTGTGTCTGTGTCTTAATCTCCTCTTATAAGGACACTAGTCATGTTGGATTAGGCCCACCCATATGACCTCACTTAACTATCTCTGTAAAGACCATATCTCCAGTCACATTCTGAGGTCCTGGGGGGGAGGGCTTCAACAGGTGAATTTGGGGAGGGCACAACTTGGCCCATAATAGCCATTTATCAGGAGCACCTCTTTTCAAGTAGTGGGTTCTGGGGAAGAGGGAGGTCCTGGGAAAAGACTCCTACAAGCTTTGGAGACAAAAAGGCCACAGGTCCTGCTCGACTCCATTGTGATGGACAAGTTGGATGACCCCAGGCAGGTCACCCTCACCTCCGTAGTGCCCCCAGCTGTGTGAAGACAGAACATGACTGTGTACATAGCTCCCTGCACTCACATACACAGTGGGGGCCCCTCAGAGACAGCTCCTGCACCAAGAGTTCCTGGCAGTTTGAGGCAATGCTGGGTCAGGACCCACTTGCGGCAAGATCAGGAAGGGCCTTGGCCACTCATCCTCACCTCTGACAGGTGAAGAGCTGAGGAAGTTTGTGTTGCCGCCCCACGCTTATGATCCTTGTGGAGATTCTGGGGCTCCAGGGGATGTCAGGATGCCCAGCACTGCAGCTCATGAGCCCGAAGACGACAAGGGCTTTTCAACCCAAAGATACAATTCCTTGTAACTGGAAATCTGTAATTTTCATTCCTTATTTCTCTGCTACCCATGGGTGGTAGGTATCCCAAGGAAGCAAACTCTGGCTCAGAGAGCAGATGGCCAGCCACAGGAGGTGCTCATCATGCAAGCAGAAGGACATAAAGGGGAAGGAGGCCAGGGACGGGGGTCCTGCCCTGAGTGGGGCAGGGCTGGGGACTGTCTCAGAGATGGGCTGGGCCTAAATCAGCAGCAGTCTAACCCTGGGGACCCAGGGGGCAGAAGGCACAGGGGGCTAATGGGCATTGCCTACGGTCCCACCCTCGCCCCCCAGGGGCCTTCCTGTCCTATAGCTTCAGGCACTGGGTGCCCAGGTGCCTTGTTGAGGACAGGATGGCAGGAAGCTGGTGTGATGTGGTAAACTGTTCATGTTCAGAGCTTACGTTTGCCTACTAGCCCAGTTTAAAAATCAGTTTTAAAACGTCAGTGTTAGCAGAGTCATGGAGCAAGCATGATGGAGACTTTTGTTTCACTTCTTAGTTGATTTCATGCCCATTATATGGCCCCTTCTATCACATTGTCAATGGTGAGAGCTATTTTTCCCCTCTCTGGAGACTGGAGATATTGCTTGAAAACCTAGAGAGATGGCAGAGTACTAGGGGTGTTGGGGGGCCCCTGCCCTAAGCCCTCAGCATGGCCTTGTCCCACCCACAGGCTTCCCACCAAATGTGCAGCTTCCTGTGATGAACAGCAGACTCATGGCTGGGGCAGCTGGGTCTGTGCCAGCGGGCCGGCCCCAGCCCTTCTGCCAGAGCCCAGCGTGCCCAAGTGTAAGGGCCCCGCATGCCGTCGGGGCCCCGTGGAAGAGGCCAGCCGCTCTGCTCTGCCCCCCTCCACCCTTCTCCCCATGGGCATCCTCTACTCCTCATTCACTGCAGACTCAGGCACCTGGCTGACAGGGCCCCGCAGCCCAAAGCCCGCTGTTATCCATGGCCACTTCAACATCCACAGCGTGATGCAGGACCTCTTGATCCTTGACCTCTTAGCCTCCAACTCCCTGCACTGCGAGACATCTCTGTCGCTCACACCCGCATCCTGCTGCCATTTCCATCTCTCCCCTGTCTGTCTGCAACCCCATGTCCCCTCCTCCTCACTTGCCTGGTCTCTGGCCCCCCAACTGGCTCCACACAGCTGCAGGCTTCCAGAATCTGGACCAGATCATGCCATTCTCCTCTGTGCGCCGTCCATACTGCCTCAGTGTGCTCAGGCAAAGCAGAAACCCCTTCCGCGGCCTGCAAGGCTCCTGTGTAGCCCCCGTTACTTTCCCTGGTGACCGCAGCTGTTCTCATCCTGAACAGGCCACACCCTCCCACGTGTCCCTCCCTCGTTCTAATGGGTAGTTAGCCCCGGGCACACACACCCGACCTGGACATGAGCACCGCACCATGGGCATCCCTTACCTCCATTTTGCCTATCTGCTGCCTCACCTGCAGCCCTGTTCCTGGGCTAACTGCAACCATTCATCAGGGCCCAGAGAAACATCGCTTCCTCAGAGCAGCCTCCCAACATGGGGATCCAGATGAGACCCAACCCCCTGCCCTGCTATCTGTTCCGACAGCATCCTCTGCCTTCCTCTCTGCCACTCACCTGCAGCTTACAGGGTTTTGTGGACAGTCTTTGCTCCCCCGGGCCAGGGTTGCAGGCTCAGCACGGCCTGCTCTCAGCTGAGAGCTGGGAACACAGCGGCACCATTGCTCTTTGTGCCATGAGTGAAATGTGAGGCTGGAGATCTTGAGACCCCCTCCCCAATCAGAAGAGCCTAACATTCCTCACAAGAACTCTAGCTTGGCCTGGCTAGGTACTGAGCACCTCCCAGGCCAGCTTCTGCTGGCCTCATTGTTGCGTGTGGTCCTCAGTCCCCGTCTGAGCGGTGGGAAGGGCAGACCACAAAGATTTCACCCATGAGGACCCCACACAGAGTGCTCAGTCACCCCAGGGTGCAGCTAGCCATACCCAGCCCTGCCTGACTCCAGGCCAGGGTTCACTCAGCAGGTCTGAGCAAGCCCCATGGTTTCGGGCACCTTCGTCCTGCCTGACTCTGTGACATCACGTGGCTCTCCCAGCCAGGTAACGTGGGGGAAGAGGCTCACTCTTCGGGGCTGGCGAGATGCCCACGCCCGGCGAGGAGTGAGGAAAGGCCATTCAGGAGGAGGAAGTAGGCACAAGGGCAGGCTATGGGCACAAGTGGGTGGGTGAGAGGTTCCAGAATGGACGTGGGGATGACGCAGGACGTCAGAGACCCATAGTGACATGATGTCAGTGGGTGATTCTGGGATGGGGATGTTGAGCCAAGGGCACCCCAAAAGAGCAGGTGCAGACCTTGGGGCTCTCGTTTCTGGGGTAGGAGGTACCCAGGTGAGCCCAAAGGGCAGCCTAGCCTCAGAACCACCAACAAAAACAGGGAAGAATGGAAGCCCAGAGAGGAGTCCTAGGGGACAGTTTGGTTGCAGAAAAGAGATGAAAAAGAATGGCCAGGAGTGCTGGCCATCCTAGAAGCTAAGCCCAGAGTTTCAAAATGAAGGTGAGGTCCTGCCTGCAGGAGCTGGTCAGGGTGGGGCCTGAGAAGAGGGCACAAGTGCTGGAGGGAGCAGGTCACAGAGGTCAGGACTTCTCCTGTGACCTCACTGGGTCGCTGTGCACTGTGGACCCTCAGAGGGCAGGACCCTGTCTGACATTCTCTCTGCACCGGGCTCTGTGGCCTGTCTTGGTCTCAGAGTCCAGAGTTTCTCTCTGGGCTCGGCCCAGGGCCACCACACTGCGGTGACCTAGCTAGGGTCATCCTCATAACTGACTCTGGACAGACCCCCTGGAGGATACCCACTCCCTAGACCCTGATCCTCATGGCATGACGTGGGCACAGCCCCCATGAGCAGCTGAGGTCCTGAGAAAGACTCACCAGTGAGGACGCCTTGGTTCTGGCCCCAAGGGCTCCCAAGGAGGGTGGGGAGTTTGGGGCCCCAAGCAGGCCCTGTCTCAGTCCGTGTGACCTGAAGCAAGCTGCAGTCTTCCTCTTATGGTGGCATCCCACAGCTCTGCGTGATGACCGTCCAGTTCCCACGGCAGCCCTGGGCAGCGGCTGCTCACCCCGCCCCAGCTGCCTCCCCTCCCCTCTGCACGCTGGCCCAGCTCCCTCCCCACCCGCCCAGCCCTCACTTCCAGAAGGAACAGCCTGGAGACTGTGTAGAGAAAGGAGCACTGGAACCAGGGTCAGGAATCCGGAGGGGACAGTTCTTACCTACTACCCTTATAAAATAAAATTCATATTTTATGGCAAGACAAGAAAAATTTAAACATAAACAATTTTCTCTGCCCTTTGGCCTCCCCTCTCCGGCACTGTGCATTGTGTGTCTGCGTTAGGCATCAACCAGACCTCCCGTGGGCAGAAACACTTGCTCGGTCATAAAGAGCATCATTCTCCTAGCACAGGCCGGACAATTCCTTAAAAGATAACATTCCTTCTTGATCTTGTAAGGGGTCACATGGTGCTTAGATCTGGATTGTGTAAACTATTAATAACACATCATTTAATGTACAGCCCTCTGTCTCAAAAAGCTTATATAGCTGTGCCTTGACTTCTAACAGGCGGAACAGTTCTCAGAGCCTTCGGAGATGCTCTTCCCTGGTTATAATCCTCAAATTTGGCTCGAATAAAATTTTCCATTGCTTTCTTAGATCAACCAATTAATTTTTCATCAACACCCTGAGAGGTTTCACTGAATGCAAGTCACACCAGGGTGGGGTTGTTTTTCTCTGGGGCTCTAGGAGCAATGGGGGTTCTGGAAGCCCTGAGGAAGTAACCCCAGGATGGAGGGGTTACCGGGTAGTCGCTGAGACAAGGTCTTTACCCTGAAGGGCAGGTTAAGGGGTGGCATGGAGAGAGTGGTGCTAAGGAATGTTCTAGGCAGGGGGCCCAAGGAGGGCAAACTCCAGAAAGGAAAAAATTAACCTCTTTCCAAGAGGTTCCTCTCTCCCTTGGCAGCCAGCTTGTCCTGCAGGGCCCGTGGCAGAGCAGGCAAGTCCAAGAGGCCTGGTGGATCACGTGGCTTTTTCCCACAAGAAGTGTGATTTATGCAAATTATCTAAACCTTGGAGTTTCCATTTAATTTTTGTGGCAAAGATTAAAGAGGATAGAGTGCACAGTGATTAAAGAGGGATCTAGGCATAGAGACGCCCCAACAAGCGGAGGCTGCTATTATTTTATGTCCTTTGCAAAGCTCCCCATTACATTGTTCACCGGGGAGCAGCTGTGCAATAAATAGACTCCTTTATATAGATCAGGTCTAGTAAAGACCGAATGAAGACCTGTGTTTGCTAAGTGGGGTTTTCACAGGTTGGAGCTCAGCATTCCCAGTTTGTGTAACAGCCACAGCTCAAACATTTGGCGGCAAGTGGTGTGTTTCCACAGGGCATTTGGGCTGGTGGCAGGGTGGGGCCTGAGAGCCACAGGAGGAACCCAGAGCCCGGGGGCAGGGCGGGGGGTGTGCAGGTGTGGTACGGGGTGGGGCCTGGGCCCTGCATGCTGGTGCCACCACACCCAACCCCAAGCCGCCTGCTGTTCTGAGTGCAGCAGGGCCAAGTGTGCAGAGTCTCAGAGTGGAGGGAGGGCTGACCGGTGCATCTTCATCTCCCTGACAAAAGGCGCGCGGAGGTAAACGAGATGGCCTGGTGGAAAGCCTGGGTAAGTGCAGAGCAAGCGGAGGTGGAGGGTTCCCTCGTGGTGTTGGTCTAGAGAGAAGTCAGCTCAGGCAACCCTGTTTCCTGCCGGGCCAGGCACAGGACTGGGCTGCCCCCTGGGGAGGAAGACAAGGAGATACTGCCCCAGTACAAGAGGCATTCATGGCGGCCAGGATGGGAACAGGGGAGATGGGCAGATAAAGAAAACTTGAAATGCACCTGGGAAAGCTGAGGAGCTGGGGGAGCCCAAAGGGAGGGGTCAGGCTGCTGGAAAGAAGGGGGAGTCATGGTTGAGTCATATGTCCATGTGTGTGTGTGTGTGTGTGTGGTGTACGCACATGCGTGTGTTTAGGGAGAATCAGGCAGATGTTTCCTTAAAGAGGGAACAGTATGTGCAAAGGTTCAGAAGACTGGGAAGCTTGGCTTTAAAGAGAAGTAAGCTTGAGGGTCCTGGATGGGAGGGTAGAGGGTCGGGGGAAATGCACCTAAAGAAGCAGGCAGGGCCGGGTCCTACAGAGCTGTGCATGGCAGGCTAAGGAGCTTGGGCTCCACCTTGAGAGCAATGCGGAGCCATTGAAGGACCTTGAGCTGGAGAGTCACCTGATTGAATAGGTTGATGTTAGAGGACTCATCAACGTCTTCTCATCAGGGGATGGGAGGCCGACCTGTGCCACAGGGGCCTTCCACATTTGAAATCCATGAGTGAAATTTACAGAGTGACAGATGGCTGAGTTAAGGGGACAGCACATCCTGCCCCCAAGTCTCCCATGTCCAGTGAATGAACAGATTCTCACGAGTGTTTCACCTGGGTTTGAGTCCGACGCTGTCTCATGCTAAGGAGTTGAAAACACAAAAGGGGGACGACGATGAGGAGCAGGTGATGTCCCCCGGGCAGGCATGATGTTGTGTGCTTGGCACACCGCCCTTCATTTCATCCCCAGGCAGCCCTGGGATATCAGGGCTGCTATTTCCACTTCACAGATGAGGCAACCAAGGCTCAGCCATATCTAGTAACTTGCACAGTCCCACAGCTAGCAGGTGGGGGTCTAGTGTGAACTGGGGTCTCTCTCTGTCCCTGCCCCCAGGCTCCCTGTGAGTCTTAGTGGGTGACCCCCACTAAGCCCCATAAGTGGACTTATCCTAATTCAGGAAATCTCTTTGTCACAAACGTCACAACCCAGGGGCCCTCAGATTCAGACATGCTGGGCCTGGACAGGTGGGACAGAGAGAAGAGCAGGGGCAAGGTGTGGTGGCCATCTGGCCCCAGCGAAACAGCCAGGACAAGGCAAGGGCCAGGGAGGCCTCCAGCTTTGTCCTGGCTGATGGGGAACAAGGCTTTGAGGAGGCAGACGTGGCAGGGAGAGTCCAGTGCTGGGCACTTTCCAAAGTCAGCTGCTGCCCAACGTGGCCTGACTTTGGGCCTTGCTCCCAGTGGGGTGGGGCAAAGGCCCATCCTTGGGGCCCACCCAGCCAGGCAGGCAGAAGCCTCCTTGCAGGGAGGCTGGATGACAACCTGGCAGGATAACAATGACATTCCTTGAGCACCTACTGTGCCCTGGACCTTCCTCTGTCAATATCTCACTTGAGCCTCTGTACACCTCTGCAGTACAATATAGATGCCAATATCCTTATCCACAGATGAAGAAACGGAGCCACAAGGAGACTAAGACGGTGCCCAAGGTTGCCACACTACAAAGTGTTGGAGTCTGGGTTAGACTCTGAGCAACCTGACGCCAGAGCTCAAACTCTATGGGGTTCGGCCATCCACAAGCCAAGGGCAGCCAAGGGGCGTGAAAGATCAGCTTGAGGGGGCCCGTCTGTGCCTCTCTTGTGGAGATGAAGCTCTGCCTCCCAAGTTCTCCGGGGCAGCCCTGTGATGAGGGAAGGCAAAGGCGTGGCAGCTCCCCTGAGACCTCCACAGACATGTAACAGAGTCACAAGCCAGGCTGAGTCACCTTTTCAGTGAAAATGCTCCTGTCTGGACTAGCCTGCTCTGTGCAAGACCCAGCAAGGGCCTAGGCAGACCCCTCCTCCAACATGGGGTGGGGAGTGGGTAGATAGAACCACCCACTAGGGAGGGGTCTGATTCCCAGAAATTTGTCTTTTTTCCCCCTAACACCTTAGCGTGGGAGGTAAGGCTGGGGCTCCTCAATGCAATGAAATCACAACCCCCAGGGAGTTAGTTACAAACATTGCCACCGGAGCCCAACCTCAGACCCACTGAATAGGCCACTCCATGGTGACTGGCACACATGGCCTGGTCAGTCACTGCTGCACAGCCCCCTGAGTGCCAGCCTGGGGCAAGGGATGGGGGAGAGCCCCTCCTGGGTAGCCTCCAGAGCTTAGCACTGAGATCTGAGATGACCCCATGCTCACAAACGACCTGCATTCCTGTGGGCAAGGTTTCCTTCAGCGAAGGGTACCGGGAAAACTCAATGTCTGGGAAAGGTTGAGTCATTGAGAGCAGGGGAGCGGCAGACAGAGCTTAGCTTCTGAGTCAGGCTGTGGGTTAAAACCAGCACCACCGTTTACTAGGTGCGTAACCTTGCGCACCTTGCGCACCTTGTGTAACCAGGTGCTCCGAGCCCAGGCTGTAAAATGGGGCATTCATAGCTACCTAGGGTGACTGGCAGAGACAGCAAGGAGAAGAGCATTGCATCTGAAGCACCTAAAGCCTCTAACACACAAGGCCTGGCACATAGGAGGTGCTCAAATCACTAACAGTAGTCACAGCTGCTCATGACTCCACAAAAAAGGGATGCAATAGATGCACGCATGCAGCTGGGCAACATCTGGGACCACAAAAGCTCTCTGGATGAAATTTGCACAGGGAATTACTTCTCGTAATTTCTTCTGTGAAACATGGTGCTAAGAAATAAAGTAGGAAAATCTGTCACCAGATATTTGAAATTCAAGCAAAGGATATGGAAAGACTTTTTACTCAAAAGAAATATCCTTACAGATATACCATGGATGGGAAGCTTCTCTGTATTTTCAGGATCTGACCAGAGCCAGGAAGGAAGGAAGGAAGAAAGGGAGGAAAAAATGATGGATGTGGTGATTGGATGGGTGGATGGCTGGCTGGCTGGCTGGCTGGATGGATGGATGAGTGGGTTGGTAGGTGGGTAGGTGGAAGAGTAGATGAGTGGATGAGGGGTGGATAGAAGGAGTAGGGAGGCAGCGTGTTCAGCTCCACTAAGCCTTTCCTTACTTGATCGCTGTCCTTATAGCTTTGAGCAGGGTTGTCCCTTCCTGCTGCCTGCCCTCAGATGGCACTGCCTGGGAGAGATGCAGCCTGATTCAGAGCCCACGCCCCAGGACGGGGCAGGGATGGAAGAGGTTTTGTGGCTCTGGCTGGCGCCAGCCTGTTAAAACAAGGAGACATTCTGCACAGGAGACAAGGCAGTCCCACAGAGCCCCAAGGGGAACCAGCAATCCCTCACGGTCAGGCCACTGTCTCTGGGGGTACCTTTCCCTA